GTTATTCCTTTCCAAGTGCAAAAGTCTACACTTGCCTTCATTGAAATTCGTAAGATTTCTCCCCGCCTAGCCCTCCAACCTGGCCAGATCTCTCTGAATGGCAGCACAGCCTGCTGGGGTGTCAGCCACTCCTTCCAGTTTCATGTCATCAGCAAACTTGCTGACAGTGCTCTCTAACCCCTTGTCCAGGTTATTGATTAATATACTGAATAGCACTGGCCCATGAGGGACTTCACCAGACCCAGGCCTCCAGCCAGACTCTGCCCCCTTGGCCACAACTCTCTGAATTCTTCCCTTCAACCAGGTAACAAAGATCTGCTTCTCCATTTTTTTGCCATCAGGCTCAAACTATTATATAATAATAATATTTTCCATAAAATTTTGCTGCACCTTGTATTGTTAGAGTCTCCACTGATATTGTAATAGTTTTGAAACTTTAACATAATTTTGAAACTTTCACATCGTTACTAAGTTTTGGGTCAAAGTCTATCAATGTTGCATTTTCTGGATGTCATAAATTGAGATTTTTAACTGTACCTGCTAATACAGTGACTACTGCAGAAAAGGCGTTGATCTTTAGCCCGTCAATGACAGTACTGTAGTAGCACATTTCTACTGACATAAGAATGGCTCCAATCAGAAGCAAAATGATGTACAGAAGCTCTGCTACAATAGACAGCCATAAAACCCCTGGAAAACCAGATCAAGAGCATCAATTAGCATTTTCACCATTTCTTTCTCTTCATTTTTAGTGTTTGCACAATACTAAACAAAAGCTCAAAGGCTATGAGGATGCTATTATAACATCTACATAAACACTGCAAGGTCGATGGGCACCCTAAATTATAATTCCTTCTACTGATTTGGACTTTTAGTAGAAGAGCACTTGCACGTTTCTGCTATACACTTATGAAGGCTACCATACAAGGTAAGGCAGTACGGTTTGATACTCGGTAGCCACTCTAAAATTACTGTGGACTAAGGTTAACAGAAAAAGAAGAATTACTATCCAATCAGCTAGTTGGCATCACAGTTGCTGCACCCAGAGAGAAGTGCACCAAAAGGGAAGAACACGTTACCCAGCTAAAAAACTGCAAGGCCATGCACACAGCTATTTGGCCTGAGAGTCTACTCATTAAACAAACAACATCCTCCCTGTGGGCTTAATCCTCCACCAAACAGGATCTTGATTGATTTTGGACAGAGAAGCCTTCATGAACCCAGACACTCTCCAGGTTTCACTGAGATTAATTTCTTTGGTTATCTCCTAATTCATGTCTCTCTGGATATCTGTTAATTACATCTTATGCAAGAAGTTAATCTTCCCATTAAAATGTCTCAGCCTGCTGTTACACCATTAGCATGCTAATGTCCCATGGTCAGGAGCAGGAGGTCTTCTTGGGTCCAGAACTTAGCAAGAACTGACTAACAGTCAGTGCCAAAACCCTTTCGAAAACAAATAAATGTGTCCTGAGACACCTGGTTGTAGATTCAAATAGTGATTTCATGTGAAGTTATATATTAACAATCATAACTTAAAATACAAACATTGCTAAGACATCCAGTTGATAACTAAACATTTATATACGGCTGTAAACACCTAGTGAGAGCTTTGACAGTGTCTGTGGGACTTCTCTGATTCAAAGGCCATTTAAACGTTGAATTCCTGGGCAAGGTTTGTTTCTCTAGAAAATCTTTTGTCTTGATAAAAAATTATGATGCATATCTACCTCGATCAGAAGCTGGAGTCAGACCAATGAAGCTTCTACATTTCTCACCTAAAAAAAAAAATAATTATATTCAAATATAATTCAAGATTATCTTGTATTCTGTAATGATCTAAAGAAATTAATAGAAACCAGAAGATGCAAAACCTGTCATAAAGGCCCAAACTGAGATGATCAGAGGAAACTATTTCTGATGTGTGTTTGTACACACAGAATCCCTGGTACATCAACCTGTCTTGTTAAGGCCCATAACAAGAGAATCCCTCCAGATATTTTCAAGCCAGAATCAGAGTCTGGAAGACCTAGAGAAAGTCTAGGAATTGATTTCCAAAAGATTTCCAAAAGCTGTGAAAGCCAGAGTGGGAAAATGACCAATTCCTTTAACAGACTGGGAGATCTGCGTATCATCTTCCCTGCGAAGGAAGACCTGCTCTCCTTATGGCAACAAGGCTGCTGCTCACACGAATTTCAGCTAAGCTTGATTCCAATTTCTTTCTGTAAGCTTTGGTTTTCAAACCCATGTGACCTCCCGACCCCCACACAGATGCTGTGAACAAAGCTGTTGGAATTAATTCTGCTCTGTTCTGAAAATACACGGTGGGTTTTTTCAGCTCCGAACTGCACCAAGTTGGAAAACAAGAACTGCCACAGCAGATGCGCAAATTAAACAACCCCTGTATCCATTGCAATCGCCACCTGAACTATGTCTTTTGGACATGTATTTTGCTCTGGTCCTTGACATTTACCTCCTTAAAGTTATGTAAGTTACAAGATCTTCTGGTAGAACTGGACTTTCAGGACAGGTGACTGCAAAAATATTTGCACTTTACAGAGCAGACGACACCCGGTTTAATTTCTCTGAAGTTTTGTTCTAGTTGTCATTTGTAAACTGACCAGAACAATAAGGGGAAAAACTTAGTGTTGACCTGGATTACGATAAAATCAGTTCCCTTACACAGAGATCCAAAATTAAGTAGAAGCTTTCTCTAATGGCAAGCTAATTTATTTCTACTAACATTTACACACACAGAGTGAAACTCAATTAAATGACACTACTCATGACTAGGAAGCGTCCAAATTATATCTTAGCAGGGCGAATATAATCTTCTTCTTTGATTTATGAAAGGTGGGATCACAGTAAGAAAGTAGAAATACCTCTGCTTAAGAGAAAATCTGTGAAATTACTTAGTTCGCACAGATTTAATTGCTCAATATTTTTTAAAGCAAAATGTGCTTTTTATATTGCCATAAGGGGTCATAAGCACTCATTTAAGGCAAGTACGTGAATTTTTACCTAAGGAGCTAAAAACTGTTTAAAAGAATAATTTAAAAAAGATTTTGTCTATACTAAAACCCACCACGCTAAAGTTCTTTGCAGAATTTATAAGGATTTTATGAAGAATTGGCTAGCTAGTATCCTCTCAGATCCCCCTTCCCAGAGAAGAGTAACTTTTTAATGATAATTTTTCCTTTAAAATACATACACAAGATTGCAACAAAGAGGAAAGTGATGCCAAATAAGTAGGAAGAACATTGATCTTTCTCTTAAGTAAATTCCCATGAGTTTACTCACCTTCTTCACTTATACTTTCTTCACAGGAATACCAAATCCCAGCATGAAACTTTCGGTCAACAAACTTGTCATCTCCCGTCTCCCAAACGTACTGCACAGCATTGCTGTTGTTGCCATCAGGGCTATTGAAGCGGATGCAGTTATCCCCTTTGCTCTGTCCTGTACAGAAAGGTTTGGCAACTTTTCTTGTGCCTTCACACCAGTAGCTGCTGCTGAATGCTGTAACAGAGAAGACTAAAGCAAGAAAACTGAGAGAAAATGCTGCTGAGGATCTCTGCCATCTGTCTGCAGCTGGCACTGAAACCGGCATCCTCCAGGACTGCACTAGCAATTATTCTAGAAAAAACTTTTTACAAAGCTATGCACACATCTGCCTGGTGAAACACCTGCCTGTATTTAACACTCTGTTCTTCATTCCTCTCAGAAAATTGTTCCAGCTTAGTAGCTAAGACAGAAAGCAGAGATATGGGCATGACCAGAAATCATGTGGCAGGAGAGATTAAGGATGTAGGACAGTGCTGTCTGGCAGTAATGTCTTGTGAAAGAAATATGAGGAGGTAGGACAACAAATTTTAGTTTGCCCCAGGAATCACGAGACAGAGATGCACGGAACACAGAAACATTGGAACTACCTCAGTATATGATCAGAAAAGTTTTTATACTGACAAAATTTGCATAATTTCCTTGATCAGCAAGTGGAGTCAGACTGACAGAGCTTCTCAGTTTCTTAGCTAAGAAATAAATAAAATCTTGCAGTTCCAAATGCTCCTGTTACACTGAACGCTGACTGCATTGAATACAGTTGGGAATTTTACTATAAAGAAACTCTTAACAAGAGAAAAACGGTTGCTTAGTTAGAGCATTTCACAGGCTTACAGAACTTCCCAAGACCCCTGGGAAGGGGATTACATCTCTTTGAAGTTCCACCAATGACAAATGAAAGTCATAGCTTGCACGACTTTGCTGTTGATGGACTTCTGGGCACTGCCTCCGTGAACAAATAACAAAGTCTTGCCCAAGTTAGGTGGAACAGCAGGAAAAAAAGCTGAATAACTCTCGTTTTGTCTGTCCATCTGTTTTCTCTGTGAAATAGGTTTTTCTTCCTTCATCTAAGAAACTTCTTCCTCCTTGACATGTTATGTACGTTGCTTTTTCTGCCTGCTTGGGTGATGCAAAGAACCAAAAGGAATAGGATTGTTAGTAAAGGATTGCTTCGTTTTACGACTGTAAGTCAAAACACACGCCCTAAGGGAAAGCGACACCACAGACACTGAACTCACATATATATCTTTTAATTAGAAACATTCTGATTTTTAAGACAACTGTCTATCCAGAAGATGTTAGGGTTGGAGAAGCACATGGCTAGACAAGTCCCAACATGAAGCTCTAAGAAACAGGATAAATATCTGCTTTAGTCTGTGATGGAGAACTCAGCTGAGTCTTATCACAATCTCAGACCAGCTCCAACGCCAGCGTGCTATTCCGGTCTCCTGGTTTTAGTCTGCTACAGAGCTGATCTTACTCATATGATCATTAGAAAATGTGCTTTTATGCCTTGTAGCCATACACAGATGAGCAGTTCCGACAGAGGCTGTGAGGTGTCTCTCTCTTCTCCCCAGAGTTGCCTTTAGGTGTGTCAGGGAGGAAAACCTACACTGTTGTGTCCACCCAAGAGGCACAGTAATGCAGAGCAGCCAGTGCCCTTACTGCCAGGCCTGGATGCACTTCCACCCCCAAAAAGACTTGTCCCCAGAGCACCTCTATACCTCATGTCCCACTATTCTTTTCTACCACATCCAGACTTTACATAAAGATGAGACATGGGTATACATCATGCTCTTCCATCTCCTGGATTGCTCTAGAAGAACGTTTTGGCACATGTGTAGAAAGGGAGTCAGGTCACGCTGATTCCCTGAGTTGACGGGGTGTGCTGCAGCGTGTACCTGTCACAACATTGGGCTTTAGTCTACGTCTGGCATTGAAAACTGGGCTCCTGCTGGCCTCACGCTCCTAGTGTTGAACCTCTGGCTGTTCTCCAGCTTAGCTGGACACCTGTGAGTTCTGCGAAGGGCATGGGCCATTCTCCGGTACCAAGAGCTGCAAGTTCCATTTCTCTTGCAAATGGTGGAGGCAACACCTTGACTCTACGTAGTGCCAACTCAAGGTATGTCAGTTGTAAGCTAGACCCTAAAATTGTTCATTATAAATGGCTTTTTTCTCTGAGACTACTTAACACCTAGGTTTATTAACATTTTCAGCCTCTTCTCTGCAACTAGAAAAGTTGCAAATGATTTTTTTGAAAATTAAAGCTGAAATTCACTGGCAGTTTCTCCAACCTCACAGCTGAAGCTGTGAAAGAAACACTGAATGTCAGGAGTAAAATTTAACTGCTGGTATTATATATTTTTTTACATTTAGATTCTTGCTGATCCGGCACTGGCTGTGCGTATTTGACAAAATACAAACAGAAAGGACAAAATCAGCTGTTCCTGAGCTGCTTGCCAACAGCCAAGTAGATTCAACAAGCTTCCTGCACAATGTTTTTCTGTGTTCTAAGGCATTTTGTAATGATTTAATGAGGTGTGTATAAATATATGTATGTATTTATGGAGCTGGATTGCATTCTTGTAAAACCACTGGCAAAATTCCCACGGAGTTTTAAGGGAACAGGATCAGGCCTTCAATGTTTTAATAGTTTTCTGACTTCTTATTGGCTGAAGGACAAGCTACAGTAAGCAGACTTTCTGTGAAGTTTAGAGTAAATTCTCTTTGCCTTTAATCAGAAAAAAACAAACCAAAAGACAGTTGGAGTCTCGAAAGCCTGGACACTTCAGTAGACTTCCTCGCTTACTTATGAGAGAATTCGTGAACCTGTTGCACTCATAAAGGGAGATATTTTTAATTTTTCGGTTTTCCCCACAGGACAGGGTGATTTAATTGATCTCTAGTAGAGTGAAATAGCAGCATATTTGGGACAAATTTGTTAGAATAATGGGTATGGTGACACTTTTTGGTCTCTGTTCCAGCATGGGAATCTGGTCCAGAATATCCACACCTGCCAGCTCTGTCATGATATTGTTTCTTGTGAAACAGGTAAGCTAATTCAATAATTAATAATGGACAGTATAAATGTGGATTCCTATCACATAGCATTTTAATCTTCACAGTCAGAATGCTCGTTTCAAAAATACTTCTGACTTAACCACTTATGTTTATTAAAAATTAAAAATGAGAAATGTTGACTGAGAAGTTGACTTTAAGTCATTTATTACAATTGTCTCCTATTAATGCTCGTTCATACATTGAAAAAACAGTGTTTGCATCCCTTTATATGATCTCTTGTCATACTATTATTGATCAGTATTAAATTATATTTATTATTCAGTTTTGCTACGAGTTATCAATACTGTTGTGAATCATGTTTGTTCTAAAACCAGCTTGGCTTTGTTTCTGTCACTATCCTTTAGCCTTTGATTTGTGTAAGAGGTGAGTGTTCAATCTCACACTTGCGAAAAACAGTGTTATTGGTTTCATTCTGCACCTCAGCTTCTTACAGAAGGCTAGCAAATCCGTATTTTCTACTTTTATTTCTTGCAGACATCTACTAAATGATTCACTTCTTTTTTTCTAATTTTATAAAAAACTGAAATCTTCTTTGACTATATTGCCTTATAATTTGGAAGAGTTTTAGGTATTTACTGACAAAATATCTCAGCTAATTCACTTCAAGGCAATTTTCACGTATGGTTCTAATCATCTGTTATGTATTTCTATCAACCTTGATTTCAATAAATTAAAAAATTTTGATTCATCCGAATACAATTCGTATATAGATTTAAAGTATATTTCTTTGATAAAAGCATACATGAAAATAAGTGTGATTGAGAAGCATACTTTAAACTGAGAGTAATAAGGTATTTCTATCCATTCATCCTCCATTTAGCTGGGTTACTAAGGGAGTAGGTTTGCATGCATGCACACTGTAGCAACCATACCTGTGTTCCTAGATTTTATGAAGAAAAAATTACCAGAAGATGCATACACTATTGTGTTTTTTTAAGTAAAACATATCGATGGCTTTGTATAATTCAAGTCTAGAGCTTCTCTCACATAACTGAATATAGGATTGAAACACCTCTCAGCTTTGTGAGACACCTGAAATTTGTGAGACACCTTAAATTTGTGGGACACCTCAACTAGAACTGATTCAGAAAATTTCCCATTTTCTTCCATGAGATCAAAACTTTATAGGGCTATGAATCACCATGAATTATTCTGTCACAGTGATTCCTGTAACTTGTTTAAATAAATGTGTTATGTTTATTTATATTTAATAAGAAATAAATAATTAAAGAAATAACAATCACAAATCACAATATCCATATTTTCTAGCAACCACTTATATAGATATGAAAAATACCAATCTGAATAAACCATGATGAGGGTTGAAAGAATAAGTAACTATTTAAGTTGTTACTTCTAATGTATACTAAAATCTAAGTTTTTTTCTGTCCTGAATAGAATAGTCCGAATAATTGGAAGCATTTAATTTCACTGTTAGCTTAGTGTAACTATGGTCAGTTATGAAAAAAAAATAAATTAAACCAGTCTTTTTGCCACCTTGGAGCTTTATTATTACAATCCTCTTAATTAAGCGAAAGCTTCAGTCAGTATGTTCTGCCGTGGCCAACGCATTTTTAACCAGTGGTGTCATCCTGATGCACTTGTGGGCTCTGAGAAAACCAAACGAACTGGCAGACCCTTCCCGGGAGGTCTGATTAAATTTGGTCCTGGTGAGCTTTAGTGAGAGCTGGGTGCCAGGCTCGCTGGCTGAAGCCACTGAAACTTCAGAAAGTCTGAAGGGATGAAACAGCCAGTGCAGGGCAACAGGATGCAGACTTTCTGGGCTTCTGTCTTGGACATCGGAGTTTGATTTCTTCAGAGTCAGAAATCCTCTTTAAATGGTGGCAGATAAACGTCAGCTGAAGCATAAAACCAAGAGCAGACTGGCTTTAAGCTTTCTTTCATCAGGAAAGATGTGGTAGAAAGCCAAGCACTGCACAGGTATTTGCATCCGTAGAGACCAGGTGTTGGCTTCCTGACTCTGCAGCTCCGCAGAAACTGACAATTACGTAAGGGGTGTGAAATTGTCATTTATTCTTAAACTGCTCCTCATTCTTGTTGAGTGAGCTTCTTCGTGACTCTTTGTCAACCTCATTTCCAGGAATGGAACCGAACGAGCAGACAGGTAGATGCTGTGAGGCTTTCCTTGGTTTTCCTTGGCTGTTTAGTACATTTGTTTATTAGAATCTGAAGAGTTATGCTTTAAATCAAGCAGTTTTCTACAAACACGTCATCTCCATGTTTTTGCCTCTTCAGCTGAGGTTCACTGACCCAGGAGTGTCTGAAGAATCTCCCCTGGCTCCCAGTATTTTGAGGGCTACATGAGGGAAATGTCAAGATGCTTTTAGCTTTGGAAACATGCATTCCTTTCTCATGGCTGCTGTAAATATTCTCTCCTTATCTTGCTAGTCCATCAGAAGAAGAATAATTATAGCCTTTCTACTCCATGAAATTTGAAGAAGGGTGTCTGGAAATTAGCTAAGAGACTAAAAGCAAAATATTGGGCAGACAGCATTTTACACAGCAAAAAGGCACATGGAAGAGCGCCCCCGTGTAAAAATTAACTAATAGTCTCCACTGATCTCATTTTGAAAGTAAATAAATATGATTTTTTTTCTTTTTCCAGCAAACCTAGATTCAAAGAAAAAGATACAGGTGGGCTTCACAGCCACACTTTGTCCTGGTATTTATCTCAGCATGTCACCAAGCTCAGACAAGCTCAGGACAACCACACGTGCGTGAAAGGCAGTTTCAAAAAAGGATCTAGTCCAAACAGAGGGAAATTGATTTTCCCTGGAGAGCTGGAAAACATCCTTTGGTATAAGGATTGTTGGTTTTTAGAAATCTATTTGGTCTGCTCTCCAAAATTTGGTCATTACAATTGGTAACAATTTCAACCAGTAGTGAATTTTTCATTTTTGTTGACTTGTAGTGCCAGTGTTTTCTGACTACTTGCCTTGCCTCTGGCCTCTCAGAGCCCTGGTTTCCAGACACCAGCTGGCATACTACACAGAGATTGCTTAGGCTGATGTTCTTTTCCCTGGATAAAGAATTATCAAGTCATCACGCTGATACTGAACTGTAAGCAGTACCTAACATTATCCTTTCTCTACTGCTTTGCTTCTAATTGCTCAGCAGCCCAGAACTAACACGTCACCAAACAATTTTGCATTTAACTCTTCTGTTTTTAGCCATCCCTTTCCTAAACATAAATTGTCAGTTATGGCCCTCTTAAAAGCCTCTATAGTCGAAGTGTTGTGTGATAAAGATGTGTCAGAAAGCCTGATGTTCACAGAGAGTAAGTTAAAGTACGAGACTCCCCTCGGGACAACTGCAACCTTCACACTGATGAGGTGCGGGCCATGGATGTCCACCACATCCTACACACATCGATCACTATATATAAAATTATTAATAGAATCTGTCTATAGCAGGGAATTTATACTTTTTTTAAAAAATAGCAGAGTAATTTTTTTATATATTAAGATTGATTTTATCAGTGAAGGCAAATTCTATTCTCTCCTTTGTGCTAGGAACCGTTTATCTACATCCCTGCTCTCGCCCTATTGTGTTAACATCCAGGTCTCTTTCTTTTCTGCTTCTTTCCTTCCCAGTGCCAAGGGAATGACTGAAGGTCAGCACATCCAAGCAGGGCTCCTGAGCCTCTTCTCTTGCTTCCTTTTTGAACACCACTGACAGTCCCCTAAACCTCTGTGTTTCTTCTGTGTATTTCTTCAAGCACAGCACTATCCTTATAAAGGCAACGACCCTCTCTCATGCAACCTGCCAGAATTTGTCCACGAGGAAAAGTTCCCATTTAGATACCGACAAACATTTTTTTTCTTCATTTGTGTTTGAAGCCTGTATTCACCTGAAAAAGAAGAGAATGGATGGTAGGTCCAGTAGGACCCTATAGATTGAGGGTGGATTGTTTTTGCTTTTAGGAAAGTGTGTGGGAACAGAAGCTTCCAGACCACAGCACAGGGTGAATGGCCAAAAGAAAGAGCCAGAGCAAGGAGCCAGTAGCCTGCAGCGTAGGAGCAGCCTAAAGGAGCAGACACCTCCTGTACTCATGGGATGGTTGTTTTCCAGACACTAGAGGGGACTCCACAGAATCTGCTGCCATTAAACTGACTAAATCCAAAGTCATGCCTGTCTCCAAGGCTAGACTAGTGAAATGGAGATTGCTCTTGAAGTGCTTTTATTTCTATTCAATATATTTCTTGCTAAAGGAAAGACAGTAACAGAAGAAATGTCATTAATAATTTCCTGGAGAAGAAAGAAGTCTGCCTTTATCTCCCTGCTTACCTCTCCTCTCCTCTCCTCTCCTCTCCTCTCCTCTCCTCTCCTCTCCTCTCCATTTTTTATGATGGTAAGAAAGTTGCTGTTAAAATACCACAAAGTTCTAACAGAATTTCCTTGTGTTCAGTATTTTCACTCACAGGCCAAAGGATCTCTGCTGGAAAAAACCACTACTGAATGGAACAGATATAAAAAAGAATGCTTGAAAATGCTGCAGGAACCAACTGTAGATACTGGTAAGGAAACAAGCAGCACAACAAAGACACATTAAGGAAAACTGATTAATATGTCAATGTTCTTTTGCAGGAGAATGTGTCTGTTTCTAAGCTCTAAAGGTAGATTACTCAGATGTAATAAAGCACACAAATAGCAGTCATGAAGTTAATGACCTTCTTTGTCCTGAAACTTATTAGGTTCCTATGTGTAGAACCAGGTCATGTACAAAAATGAAGCACTGAACAGCTGGTGCTGAGCTACCACTGTGCTGTGCAACTCAGTTCCTGGTCAAGAGGTAGCTGCTACCCATTATTGGTAAGAATCACATCATTTGGATGAAGGAGACCAGTTTTCACTTCCCTTTTCAGCCTGAAGGAAGTCTAACCCATATTCCTGGAAATTATATTAACTACAGGAGAACAGACCCATCCAGGGACTAGAAGATGCCTCCCTCTTCCGTACTTTAGAAACTGAGTGAACGCAGACAAGAATCCAAAACACATGAGACAAGCTGAGTCTAGTTTGTTCCTAGTTCAAGCAGCTGGGGAGCTGATCTCTTCTCACGGGACAGCTCATGCATTTTGTGATGCAGGCGTTAGGTTTGTGGAGTTAAGGCACTTTTTGCTTAGACTTTAGTTCTAACTGCAAGGCGACCATATTTCTTCAACCTTTCTCACATCGCGTGGTGTGGGATAATCACCCAGAATGACTTAATTTCCTACATAGCATCGTTCACACCTCGGAGCATCGAAGACAATTTCCAGGACAATGTGTGACTGGTACAAAGGGAGCTCTTCCCACAAAGGTTTTCCAGAGCAAACTTAAGGGCTGATAGCACTAATGCTTGATGTTTCTGACTCTAAGATTGCTATTCTCTGAACGACTTCATGTTAGACTTCTATTTGCTTCTCTCCCCAGGAATACGTTGCAATGGGACATTTGATCAATTTGTTTGCTGGCCTTACTCACCCCCAGGGATTGTCTCTGTTCCTTGTCCTTCCTATTTGCCGTGGTTGGAAAATGGTAATGTGAAAGTGGTAACTTCTCTCCGAGTTTATGCCAGGAATCCAGTGAAAGGAGACATGATGCTGTTCTCTCTTGTCCCAGTGTCCTTGGAAGTGGATTGAAGTCCTTGAGGGATTTCTTGTCTCGCTTCTTGTCACCTCTTTTCTGGACTGAGTCACAAAATTGTTGTTGATGTTTATTTTACTCCTCTTCTCCATCTGCACTTGCTTCAGCTCCATATTGTCTGCTATAAAGCAACATTTCCAAGACTGTGTAACCATACCGCCAGGCCTTTACTGGTAATAACGGATTTGGGCTTCAGCTTCTAGGGTGAAAGTTCTGTGGTCCCCACTAACACCAGACATGAAGCTCTCTCAGAAAACTCCAACAGCCAAACAAAGCAGCAGTCTGAGCAGCCAGCCCTGCAGTAGAACACAGCAGTGTGATGAGCAAGGAAGCTTTGCCATGCTTGGAGGGTGAGGATCAGGGAGGCTCTTAGGAAAGGAAAGAGAGTAACATCTGCAGCAGCACAACTGTCTAGAAGCGAACAACATTCCCTTTCTCCTACAGAACTGAAAGGGTATTCCTAGCATTTCGGAATCCTACTACACAGCCTTTCCTAGCTGCATGTGGCTTGCTTTGCTGGATTTCTTGTGCCACTTGGAAGGATCAATTGTGTCCGAGTCCTTTAGTTTATGGAGACTACTATGGGCTGCCTATCCTAACTTTCTCCAGCCCACCCCACACATGCTCTGGTCTGTAATGTCATCATTTACCCTTTTTTGTGCTGCTAAACAGAAAGAGACACAGCTTCTATATAGTCTCCAAAACTACCACTTCTGCCAACCGTTTAGAACAAATTCAGCTCTTCATGATAAACCTAAAAGCATCCATGTAATGCCAAGTCTTTTTTTCTGCCTGAATGTCTATAAAAGCAAGATGCAAGGTGTTGTATCAGGTTACAAAGCTTTAATTGTGTTCACAGTGGGGAATACAGTGGCACTGCTGTGTTACAGCATCATCTGGCATTCTCACCCATGCCACAGCACCTTAGACGAAGAGACACTAGAGACAGCCCAGCTGTCTCTTTGTCCTCAATATTTTCTTGTGGGACTGGGGTTAGGTTTGCTTGTGATCTCTGTTTCCACTGCTAGTCCCATTTCCAAGGCATAGACACCAATGGATTTTGACCAGAAATGCTTGGAAGCTTGAGGTAAATTTATTGTGGTTTGCTATCACTGGCAAGCCTGAGCACTGAAAAATTAGGGTAGTCTGGAAATGAGATTTCTCATCTTTTTCAGTGTGTAGTCTCCACACAGAGTTCCTGCTCTGTCACAGCAACCTGTGCTCCCTAAGCAATTCTTTCAGTTCCAGTTACCCTGAGTGAAACGAAATATTCTGATTGTTGCTGCAACCCTTAAACAATTACTAATTAAAAAATGATTGAAAAAGCTTGGGTCTCATTAGGAATAAATGGAAGGCAGATGTTGAGAACAACATCAAATAAACATCAACCAGGGTCCTCGCACCATTCTTCTGATGTTATGGACTTAATTCTTAATTAGTATAAACTAGGACAGTGCAGTGAAATTCAAGAAAGCTTCTCTAGTTCACACCACCTCCTTGATTAGGCCCCCAAAAGCATAAATAAAACACCAGCTACAGGTGTTTCAGAGCAAGATCATTCTTTAATCAAACCCTATTCTTCCTCTTGCAATTTTGACTGCATGTCCTGGGCAACGTGCTTGATGGAACTTATTACCTCAATGAGGAAAAAGGAATAAAGTGAGATGTAGGCTTTTCTTTTGGATGTAGCAATTACGTATTTTTCTGTAAATGCCAGGTGCATTCTGGAAATTTATTTCTGCTAAATTACACTCCTACTTTATACTATATATATATGAAGAATGCGTTGTCAAAGACAAAAGAAAAGTGCTTTTTGTTCTTTTTTAGAGTGAGGGTGGTATGGCGTCTCTTGCTGTGGTCTGAGGGAGAAATCTCTGAAACGTGTATGAAAAATGAAATCTTTTCTCTGACCTTTCAGATTGAACCTCTGTTTACTTTCAGGAAGCGTAGGAAATGTATACAGAGTCTGCTTGGACGAAGGGACTTGGCAAACAAAGGAAAACTCCACAGACATTTGGCGAGATAGTTCAGAATGTTCTGAGAAAAATCATTTCAAAAAAAATGTAAGTATGTTTTATGTTATGGTTTAATACTTTAATCTTCTTAATCCCTTCTTGAGTAACTGATAAAACATTTCCACTGAATACCTGCAAAAGATGTTCAGATTTCATTCTGATTACCAAATGGAAACCTGTTCATTTATTTAGAAGCAAAGGAGGAAAGAGAAAGGGTTAAGGAGGGGGATTCCTGGTTTAAATGCCACAAATTGCTTTCTGTTCAGAGTCCAGCGTTGACGTGTGCTGAATTTTTCCTAATAAAATTGAACAAAGCTGCAAACTGACAAGCAAATAACTTCAGTTCAAAGCATCCCATCATCTGTCCCAAACTCCTGCGGTCTGCCAAGGCTGGACAACTTTACTCCCCACCGCTGCCTGAGCCCTTCAGAGTTTTAATGGGCTGTTACGTGGTCCTCTCGAATTGAGCTGGTCACGGACTGGAGGATTCCCGGGAATGCCAGTACCATGGCTCACGTTCCCTACGGGAAGGCAGTTGGCAGCTGAGCAAGGTCACTTCCACCACCCCAGTGAGGTTTAAGGGCAAGGGCAGCTCAAGCTGTGAAACAGGGATCTGATCCTGTTGCCTACTGATCCCGTTGCACAGCTCAGCGTTGACTTGCAACGAATGCGAAGGAGACGGAAGGATTGGTAAAGTGTTTGCTTTTTTATACGTATAAAAGCCTTCTTGGTTTTTTATGGTAGAGCATGCAGCTCATCTGGTTTCAGATTCTTGTAACTTCTTTTGTCATAGAGTTCAGCTTAGCTGATGCCCAAATGAAGTCTTAGGTAACAGTTTATTACTGTTGATTATTTTTTGCTTTTTAGTACTTCATTGGATGGGCACTGTTACTGTTTATTACTTTATTGAGTAACATTCTTGATAATTAAACACTGTTAGTTCAGGATCCCCATGTACTATTAATTTTTTACTAAACTCTTTATATAGTGAGTACATGAACTTCCAAACTTACGGTTTATTTATACAAGAGTGATAAATATTCGTAAGTACTGAGCCTTTTCCAAGGTTTGTTGACCATTTTGGACCACAAACTTGTGGGTGGGAGACACATGAATTCATCTTGTGTGACAGCAGACAATTTCTCTGAAAGCTGTAACCAGCTTTCCTACCAACGCTAAAGGTTTGTACCTTTTTGTTCTACTTAATGGAAAGATCCGAGATGTTAGAAATAACACAGAGTGAGTATCTGCACATATTGGAAGAATCGGCTTATTTTGTTTGCTTGGTGTTACAAAGTTGGCCTAGCCAAGCTGATAACTCATATTTTTTGGTTATGCCCGTGCCTGTGTGGATGTTTTCATGGAGCGGAGTGACTGAAGGCTCAGCTATGGGAGTCTCCTGCACCCACACTGCTCTCCCAAGAGAATTTCTACCAGCGGTCACATCTCACTCACGCTATCCAGAGAGCGCTCCTTAGTGTAAATTGGTTAGAGACAGCCACTGCCAGGGAGCCAGTGCTACAGTCCCTGCACTAGGACAGTTCACAAAGAAAACAGGAAAATCACTGAGGAAGGGACACAGGCTCCGAGAAAAACTTTGCAGGGCAAATACAGATTTTGAAAGTCACATAGCCTGTATCCCTACATCCCCTCTGCAGAGGAGGTTTTCTTGGGCTAGAAAAGCAACCTGAAGAGCCGAGATGCAGACATAAGCAGCTAAACGGAGAAACTTAGCAAGAAGCAATGTTAAACAAAGCAAAGTATGAAGGTGTCTCCCTTCTCTGAGATCTTATTCATCATTCAAAGATGTTTTAGACAACTCTAATTTAATAATTTTTATTGTTTTCTTTGAACTCATGGCGGAAGTCACCCTATTTCAATGACTCCCGACAGAGCTGACTCTCAAAATTGTGCAGATGCATCCAACCCATAACTGTGTCCCCAGGCCCCCCCCAAGGTGATTGCCCCGGGTGTGCAGGCTGAGAGAGCCATTTCCGCCCTTATTCAGCCACCAGGATCCACCTGGTGCCTGCAGTCATGGCAATGGCAGCCGTAAAAGGGGTTCGTGAAGGAAGGTGTTCGTGAAGGAGCAATCTGGAAATGAGACCGTGAGTGCCTTCGAATTTCAAAAGGAACCGAGGATCTCTGCAAGTGTCTGTGGCACAACGATTTCAGGCGGCGGTGCAGGGAGAAGGCGTCAGGAATCTCCCCTTGCTGCCCTGCAGCCCAGAGAAGTTGGACTCAGAAGTTTGTGAGCTGTGGTCGTGCTCTGCCCACCTGCCTGTGTGTATAACACATTTTTCTTCTTTGTTCCTAGGAAGAAGAACATAAATTACTCACCACATTACAGGTGTTGTACACTATAGGGTACTATTTTTCTCTCATCTCGCTTGTGCTGGCTCTCCTCATACTTTCTTTTCTCAGGTTAGTCCAAATTCACCTGCATTTTATAAGCACAGACCCCGGTATGCACATTCTTCTTTTCACGTAATTGAATTTATTGCTTAGCTGCCAGAGTAAATAACTTGTATTTTCCTAATAAGTGCTATAAAAGCAATTCCTAAGCAAAATATATTGATGGCAACAATATGAATAGAACATATTTTTTTTTGTTTGGGGTGGTTTTTTGTTTCTTTTTTTCATTTCCTCAAATTTTCCAGAGGATTCATACATCATGTTTTCACCCACAGAAAACTTCACTGCACAAGAAACTACATCCATATGAATTTATTTGCATCTTTTATCTTGCGTGCAACAGCAGTTCTTATAAAAGACACTGTGTACTACAAAATTTACTCCAAAAGACCGAATGATGAAACTGGATGGATATTATACCTCAGTCCTGAGGTAACGTGTTAGTTCACTGCTAACAGTGAATGTGTGCTGAAAGTTTTGAGGTGTTTGTTAATTGAGCTTTTGATACTGAAATTTTGCTGGTAAAGCTTGTGGTAATCAAGAAAAAAATTCTATTTGATAAATTGTAATAGATTGATCTTACGTGAAGCCTTGCACAGAAATAACAAAATAGTTATATTTATAAATATCCCGTGTAGCAAAACAACTTACACTTGTAGTTTTCTTTGCAGGAGACCTACGTAATATTTGGCACTTACGTAATGCTATATTTATTCACTCTTGGTATGTGTAGCACAATGCAACGCACACAAATCTTGCTTTTAAGATAACCTTATCAAACAATGCATCTGCTGTGAAAGAGCATTAAATAGTTTAAAGGGGCTTCTGTACCAGGAAAATGTACGAACTTTCTTACACCTGTTTAGATAATGGAATAACAACACCTCTCATTTGTGAGCCTTGTGGATAGATGATCCTTGTGTGAGGTTGTGTGAATACAGTTTGCCCACGACAACTATCAAAATTACCTGCAAGATATCAGCGGTGACTATTAACTGAATAGCTCACCTGCCAAAATTCTGCTACGCAGACCGTGACAGGGAACACATACCCCAGCTTACACTGTCACTGCCTTTTCCTGCTTGTCATTTCCACCCAAACTCTCTGACAATGCAAAAGCCTTTTAATTATTGCAATGCAAAAGCCTTTTAACTATTGCAATGCAAAATTATTGCAATGCAAAATTATTGCAATGCAAAAACCTTTTAATTATCGCTTTCCCCTCCAGCCTCTCCCAAGCAGAAATGAGAGTCTATCACAGTCATATCACAACCTCCTGCTAGTTTTAGAATGGTTGCTAAAGTAACAAGAGAAAATCAGGGTCTGTCAGAGCTTTTGTATATTAACCGTGATTCCTGGTATCTCGTTTCTACAGATTGTAATTGTTTGCAGGACTGCCCAGTTTTTCATGCATTACTTCGTCGGGGCAAATTACTTTTGGCTGTTGGTAGAAGGAATTTATTTGCATACGTTACTGATAACCGTCGTACTCTCTGAAAGACGGCTGCTGCAGACATACGTCGTGATAGGATGGGGTAAGTACCTCATCATTTCCAAGTTCTTGATTCTGTGGTGCTTTTTTGGCATCAGTGGCGGATACTTTGTAATGCAGAAAAATCTGAACTTTTTTTTGGTTGGCTTTGAAGCCAGCAATTGTCCATAAAGATATAACTAGCAGTGACACGTTCATTGCAGTTCAGCTTGGCCTGCAGAAAGAGGGAATGGGTGCAGTGTTCCCTAAGAAAACAGCAGCCCAGTGGACAGAACAATAAGAAGTTTGACTACGTTTGGCTGAGTTTTCTGTGATCACTGAATAGTATGGTACTATCAGCAAATTCATTTTCTTCCTTTGTAATAGAGCACCTACACAGCAATGATGTCTAAACATTAATTTTCTTCACCCTCCTAGCTCACCTTAAAGTTCAGAAGTGTGGTTTAACTGGGAGGACAATCTGAAACACTTCATGACTCAGGTCTTATAGAAACATAAGGCATTTTTCATGGAGTAAAGGCAATGTAAAGTTAGTAACAAACATTTGAATAATTTTATGCAAATTATGTTGTGTAATCTGACACATTTGTTGTTTACTCCAATAGCATAATTCTTTATTTTGTCTGAACAATGCAGAAAATCAAGGTTTTCCAATTCCCAATAATCATCTAAAATCTAGCTTTGCAAGTTTTAGGCCTTTGAAGGTTTTAAATAAAGATAATAAATGTTCTATTAAACAATACATAGACTTTTTGCAAGACTTACTGACTGACACCCAATGGCATGATTCAAGGAGGATGGCAGCATGGATGGCCATAAGAACTTCTGACTGTGAAACTTTTGTCAGTATATGGCTTTACAAGCTGGTTTACTATCACCATGTCTATTGAACTCCGTTGTCAAATGTGAAATTGTGTATCCAGACCTGTGAGACTACAGTGTAGAGCCCACTTTAAAATTCTTCTAAATAACACTTTCACTTTTTTTTTTTTTTTGGTAGTGAACCATGATTTAGTTGTAAATAAATTGTTCCATGTTGTGTAATATGGTACTGCTTGCTAGAATTAGCTACCAAAGACAGAGGTATGGTTTAGAAGAGGTGCTTAAACTCAAACGCAAATAGCTGAAAAAAGTGGCAGCCAAGACTGAAATTATAATCGTTACAATTGGAATGCTATGACAATTGCATGCTTAAAGGGAACTTCTGCTTATCGTTACCAAGGCTGTGGCAAACTCCCTGTTGGTTTGATAATCGTTCATGTCATTCTGTTTTATCTGAAAGTTGTACTAGACTGTCTCTGTAGAAACCACCGAGAACAAAGCTCACTTCGGCATCAAGCACAGCTTGTACCTTTTTAAATGGAAGTTAGAGAGCATCTAAGAAACAGTCTGCTGCAGAAATTCCTAGAATCAAGCGAATTTCATATAAGGCCATTTTTCATGTTTTTCTAATCTGACTTTTTAACAACGAACCATTGCTATAGAAAAATGTTAATGCTTAAAGCATGATCTGGAACAGGACTTCAGCATCTGAAATTCCCCCTGCCAAATAGGAGAAGGAACGCAAACGGAGCATGCTTGCCAGCGCTGTGGGTTGGATGGCAGCACAAAGGCAGGACAGCCTTAGGCAGGCATTAAATGAGCTTTCCTTCGTCACTGGGGCTGTGTGGGAGCTGCGATGGGTAAAATGAATCTCACTGATTACCAGCTTAATTGATTTCAAAAGCGTGATACAAACCCTGTTGAAATACACAAGATAATTTATGGCAAAAATATCTGGCCTGAAAAGTAAAGATCTGTTACGGAACCCAGAAACCTAAACTCTCCCTTATAGAAATGGCTTGTGTTTACACTGACAAGGTTAAAAGATATTTCACTTTTGTCTCTTATAACGTTTGAACCAGGTTTTGAATACACGAGACGTATTATTCTGAAGATGTCAGTACAACAGATCTTGTTATAAGAAATCAATTAAAAAATACTCAGACCCCAGTAATTTTGACAGTGGCACATTTAATTTTGGAGTATTAAGTCGGTTAATTACAAGCAAATATAAAATTCATAGTTGACATTGTGCCAATTTTTTTTCCTTTTGTTAACAATAAGAGCACCTATTCCCTTTTCCCTCTTGTTTTCCAGTTTTAAATCCAAAATAAGGTTTTATTTAGCTGCCTGTAACAATACAAGAACTCTAATAGACTGTTCAGCACTTCACACCTTTTAATTCTTTAAAGATCAGATAAAAAACTAGCGTATCTACAGAAATTAAGAATTCAAGTTGTTTTCATCTAGACTCACAAGAAAATGTGGGGTTCTGAGGCCCTGATAATAAGTTCAGAGTCTTCACAACTGGTCAACATGACAACGGTTTAACAATGGTGAAAGAGCTGAGCGCACAGAACAAGGATGAAACAGAGGTGTTTGCAATGGCAAATGTGAGTCAGTGCATACAAAGCAAGTGCTGTTACCTCGGGAAAGTTTCCTTTTTCATGTTTAAAACAAAAAGGTTTGTCTGTGGCTCGAATGGAAATTATTTTGTTCTAGAGAATAACTTGATATTTTTATATCAGGAAAAATCACTGCTTTTAATTGAGGAAACGTGTAGAATAGGGAAACACATGTTTTATTGCATACTTGGGAAAAAGAATTACTTTTTTCCCACCTGAAACAGGGAATTGATCTTCAAGTTAAGCTGAAGTTTAACTTCATGAAGTTAACATAGTAAACAAGTTGATGGAAATTGGTATTTAATACCTGTGATGAAGAGACAAGGAAAGCCTGAAAAACTAGTTGTCAGTCATTTGGTGCCCAGTACCTCAAAATCCACACGAGATCCTCCAGTGCAGTTCTTCCAGGTTCTGAGGAAGATGTGCTTTCTGCTTGTCAGTGAAGCAGATGCCTGCGCATTTATAGACCACTGGAATAGCATAGGCATCCTTTACTTAAAGATTTTTTTCAGTCTGCTCTCGAGGATCTCCAGAAAAAGGGAGAAACAGTAGGGGACTGGGAACCATATGTTATCTCTAAGGGGTCCAGGAAAGGTAAGCCAGGAAAACAAGCCTTTGCCAGTTGTTTTAGTTAACTAAACAAGTTCCATGCCTCCACCGAAAGCTCTTTAAAGTTCAACAAATAAAAACATTAACAACTGGCATCTTAAGTAGTTTGTGAGGACTCAAGTGACAATTATTTTGAATTCTCAGGGTCAAGAATTTAGAAAATTTGGACAGGTTGACAGTGCATGTATGTACATATGTGTACACACACGTATATATTAGTCTGGAAATACTAGATTCAAGTATATAATGAAATTTTATTTTGTATTTTAACTGCAAATCAGAAACACCAGGATGGGCTTGATTTTTTTACAATTCTAGGTAGAATACTGAAAAAGTATGTCTTTGCACCAGGCACTACTGCAACATATCCATGTTTTGAACCATTCTGCAAGCTTGACTGTAGTTGATTCCTTTTTTTTTCAGTTGTTCCCATCCTGTTTGTGGGCCCTTGGGGAATAAGCAGATCAAAACTGGAGAACACAGGGTAGGTTACTAAATAAAATATGCCTTAGAATACTGGTTTTTTGTTTGCTTAATTTCTTCTGGCAGCCCTTGACAATGATTGATGTAAGTATTGACTATTAAATTATATTAAGATTACACCGCACTTATTGGTACTTTTTACATTTTCTACATTCATTTTAGTACTTTTACATTAAACTACTACTAGAAAGCCTCAGATTTACTTACGCATAAATCAAAAATAGAATAAACATTCATTAGGCCTAAATTGAAGGCTGTGCATCCAGTGTTCATCTGCGTATGTGAAGCACGTTGTCAGCATAAACATCTTCATGGAAAGCATTTTGTTAGTAAGAAAGGGAGATCAGAGCTCTTCTTGGAGACTGTTTACACTTTAAGTGGTATTCACCATCATTTTGGAAAAAAAAAATGGTTATGAAGGATAACGACAAAACCGGACGTTCACTAAACGGTGATACGAAGGGAATGTGTTCAGTATTCACTGAATCAATTGGCGAGAGTAACTCATGCTGATAAACATCAAATTTCCAGTCTCCTGGTCGTCAGTGATTCTCTTATTAGCATCACATAAACTTGGGGTTTATGGATGATTTCTTTTGTTCTCCTTTTTTATTCATGGTTCCTAGAGAGTTTTGTTTGGAACACCAATATATTTATTAAGCAACAATATCAGGAAACAAATCTCAATCACAGTTTTGCAGAGTCAGATGTTGTTGTATACACCGTAAATGACAAGCCTAGATCCTATGGATTTTCAGGGTAATTAGCAAGAGGGAACATATGCATAGGAAGGTTAGATCAGGAGAAAAAGAGACAGCTTCAAAGAAACAGAATACACAATTCTTAGCAGGTCGACAGCCATGCTCACAGTTCATCACTTCTCCATTCCCAATTTCCAGTTTCAGACAGATGAATTTGTATAGGACGAGTTCTATTGCAAAGGTTTGATTCCATGTACAATTGTGTGGATCCAAAGACTGAGTTTGCCAGATTGTTCTGAGGTTTGAAATCTAGGTAAACCTCTCTCAACATTCTGGTGAAAAGATCTTCAGAATAAATACAGTTACAGTTATGGGTGAGATTCTTCCTAATTTTATCCCATTTTTTTTCTGAGTGCCACTCAAAAAAGTTGAACTTTGTCAACTTCCTTTTGAAATATATACACAAGTTGTGTAAGTTTTTTACTTTTATTTTTATTTTTTTTCTACGAAGATAATGTGATTATACTTCAAATTATTCTCCAGGTGCTGGGGAACAAATGAACACATGGGCATCTGGTGGATCATCCGAGGACCAATGTTGTTTTCCATTGCAGTAAGAATGATTTCATCTGTTCATGCACAAATGTGATTGTCTTTTGCGATCCTTTCTCCAGATATAATCCAGTTCTTGGTTTCAAAAAGATGAAACAGAAAAAAAAATGTAAATTAAGTTTCTTACTGTGGGTGGATGGGCAGAGCTTCCTTCCCATCTATCTACAAAGAACAAGTATTTCAGTGTCACCCTCTCAAAACACTGCTCTTTATCTGTGCAGCAAATTCTGTGCACCTTCATCTGTATCAAGGATGGAGCCTTTTGCTTCTTATATTTTTTACTTCTCTTATTTCTACCTTCATTTTCTCAACGAGCAGGTTACTTAGGAGAGTGCTACCGTGTGGTGAGCACCCCTAGAAAGCTCCAAGTTGTCTATAGACACGGATCTTATGATAACAAGGATGCAGAGAAGTAGCAGCAGAAGTACTGAGAGCCATGGGAAGAAAGCATTCACCTAATGAAAAAAATGTGAAGCACAGCATGGCAATACTGAGTTACGAATTTTTTTCGGTAACAACTGCAAAAAGTGTACACCTGAAACGCAGTGATAATGAAGACATGGAAATAGCATGATCAAAACAACTCTTGAGGCAAAAAAAAGTAGCACTGCACAATTGTCTGACCATAAAATGATGAAGCAGGGCTCTGTGTTAAAACAAAAATGTAATTTTATCCTGGAACATCATGTATCATAACCTATGTGTAAATCAGGCTCAGTAAGGCAATGGTGAGTTTCCCAACATTGGAACCTTAATAACTTCTTGGCATAGGGATTTTGGCTTGTGGAAGTGAAATAGTTAATGACTCGGGTGTTTGCAGGCTCTTTTGAAAGGAATATTTGCAGATAGGCCTTGGCCAAGTCAGCACAATTTAATTAACGAAGGAGTGGATTATTCGTAAAAAAATGCCCAGGGCTTCCTTTTTCTGGCTGTCTAGAGCATCTTTGTCTGTAGAATTGCAATCACTGTTGTTTTTTCATCACATCCTATTTACCTGTGATTGTCTGGTGAAAAGTTGTGTGACCAAAAGGTGTCTGGACTTGTCACCTGCCTGTTCGGAGAGAGTCGATACCAGCAGAGTCTGTCGCTGCTGCTCTGTGCTCTCTGCTGCATCTGTGCAATAACCTGCGTCTGGTCAGACCTGACCACAACCACATTCCACTTGTTCAGTGATAGGTTTTACAAATGTTCAATATCAACTTTGCATTTCTTTACTAGCTGTATGTGTGGTGTCATAGCATTTAGTGTAAGTAACCTGCACGTACTTTCTTTCAAGGTTAACTTTGGCATCTTCTTAAAAATCCTCAGGATGCTGATTTCCAAACTAAAAGCTCAGCAAATGACCTTCCACGACTACAAATACAGGTATGTTAGAAATAACGAGGTTTTAGCCTCTTTTTTTAACCTCACAATATCGAAAGGTTGCTGGTTTGCCCTTGCAAACACCACCAGCCATAGCAGATATTCACAGTGTGATGGAGGAAAGCCACCTGGGGAGACAGGCTCCCCAAACCTTTCCTATCTGAGTATTAGGGACATTTTATCAAGGTAAGTTCTCCGCTCTCAGGTGTTCTCACTGCTCACCTGTGGCCTCGACTGCTCTGACAAATTTATCCCCAAGTGTGACAGAAGAGTCCCCAAAAGAGGAGGTGTAGGAGACTTGTGGGACACTTCTAAGTGACATTTTTCACACAGACCTGACCCAAGAATATCTTCTTTTAAATCCAAATCGGAACGATCTCAATGTCTTACGTAAAGTTCTGGGTTTGACAAACATCTTCCCACTCGGTGGGAACATTAAGGGCAGGCTGCTCTGCAAGGGGCGAAGGGTGCAGTGAAATCTATTTAAATCAATGGAGAGCTGAGGATTTATTAATCGCTTTCCACATCTCAATTCTTTCCAGTTCTTAGTATCCTTAATCAAAGAACTGTGAATCCCTACAGTCCCACCTCACTAAGGTGTTATTTTGTTGTCTAACAGGACTGGGCAGGGGGAGGGGGGTGTGTTTGTGTGGAAATTCCACTACTAACTTCCTGTTAAATCGAACTATGAAATCCCTAGCGAGAAGCACGTTTCCATTTTCCTTCAACATTCAAGGTCCAAAGATCTCTGTTCTCCAGGCTGCTGCACGAGGGTTGTTGTGATGACAGGCACGGACAGCAGTGCCTCTATTTAATAGCGCCCAGCATTCTGCGTTACATTCTCTCCCGCTGCTTACAGTTTTGCTGACCTTTCAAAGATTCAAGCTATTCCTCACATTTCAAATGTCCCTCAGAACTCATTTTTAAACTCTCTTCTTTCATCCATGCAAACATGTTCTCAGACTTGAAGATTCTCTTCCATGAAAATTCTTCTGGAAGCATTTTTTAAGAAGCAGACAACTGCCAACAGTGCTAGAAGAAACCATCTATGTAGCTACACAGAGATTTCAGCAGTGATAGCAAGGTCTAAGAACACTGTTAATAGATTACTCATATTATAAATATTTTTTTCTGTTACCAACACCATAAGTTTGAGGACAGTGGCCTTCCTGTTCAGTTTCTTGTCCCTAACTGTTCACCTGAAACTCAAAGCCAAGTTCCCTTCTGTACAGACTTTTCTGATAGCTTACTCCAAAATTCATATCTGGGAATTTGTCCTCAGAATAAAAAAAATTAATAATACCATTCCAGAGTCAGAATATCGAGGCAATACTTCTAAAACCATTTCTCTGTAGGTGATTTTTTTTTTTATTTTTGCATCAAGAATGTTGAAAAAACGACTATAATCAAACATTTTCTTTTTAAGATTGGCGAGATCTACACTTGTGCTGATTCCATTGTTGGGAATCCATGAATTTGTTTTTACCTTCATCACCGACGAACAGGTGGAAGGGCTTTCAAGACATATAAGACTATTCATTCAGCTGACAATGAGCTCATTTCATGTAAGTACTGTTTTGCAAGTGCTGTTTTTAGGAGTCATAGATCCATGTTTATGTGTTGTTTACCTATAGATACAACAGGTATAGAGTATTATCCAGTATTGTGCTCCAACTTATAATGCCTTTAAATACACTGTTATGGTGACGAGATAAAAAATTCATAAGCTCCATATTCAAAATACATTAGTCCTATACATACACTGTACTAAAGTACCGTACTCATGAACAGATTTCCAGAGCTAAGAGAAAATTTGTCAGAGCACTCATGCGACTGGAACAGATAGATGGACTAGCACCTGCGGGTGGAGAAGAAGTTTCTCAGCTATACGGCCAGCACTGTGTTTTAGAAATATTTATGCACCTGACTCCCCTTCAGTCACCCTGCCTCAGTAGTATGCAAGTAGGCAGAAAAATGAGGTACCAAAGGACTGGGTGTGGCTCTGGGAGCTCTACACCCTCTTATCGTGGCTGCAAGCCTGAAGGTGTGAGGGAGCCACACTTCGTTATAAAGGCCAGTTCTAAGCAGTCCCAATTCCCCAGCGAGCTGCTCGTGAAAGGAACGGATCAGCCTCTTATGCAGGAGCATGTATGGGTTTCAGTTTAACTCTTTCCAGTTTACAAAGGCTCAGAACTAGACCCACCAGTCACTCTGCAGGCACAAAGCTCTGCCAGCTGCTTATGTCTGTGTTTTGCTGAGCAATCACTTTTTCAGGTAGCACTCCCGTGCTTAGCAAAGTTGTCCGTGACCCTTATCTGCCTGCTGTGGGCTTCTTGGAGAGACAGGACAGCAGTTTCCGAGTCTCCTTTCTTTAATGACATGCTCGGCACTCTCTCTGGCTGGAGGTCCTTGGTACTCACTATTCACAGTGCGAGACAAGAAGCCGTCGAGGCGTTATTGCACTTTTCCCACGGTTTGTGGTGATCCTCGTTCTTTACACGGTATGTGTGCACCAGTGCTCTGGCATATGTAAGCATCAGTGCTTTGACACTGTTATGGAGGCTCTCATTAGAAATTTCCATTACAGCTTGAGAGGAAAAATGTCCAGGCAGGCAGAGGCAGCACCCCAAGGGGGCTGCTGACATGATGTTCCTCACTTAGGCAGATCCTTATTTGGAGAGGTTGCAGTGACTAGATGTTATTTTAAGAAACGCAGAATCATTTTAAGTGAAAATTTTACTTACTGGCTTGTATGAAGAAATCTGATTTAGCAGAGAGCTTACTCATCCTTGCTAGAAAACACAAACTTCATTCCATTTAGAGGAACATGCACACGCTTGGCTACAGGACACACTTTAGAAGCAAAACTTTTTTTTAGAATACCCAGAGATCTTAGACAATGTTTATTGCAGATTCTCTTTTTTAGCTGCAGCATTATTTGTGAAGGGATTAGCAAAAAAGCGCATAAACTGTACACAATTGCATTTGTTTAGTCTCTAAATCTTCTCAGTAGTTTTAAAAAGCAGTTAAACTGTTTTGTTAAAGAAAAACAATTACCCCTGGCATCTCATCTGGAGGTTTTAACTGAAACATTTTCAAGGAGCACAAAATTAAATTCTAAATATGAGTTCTGCTGTAGATACGATGCCTCTTCCTTTTAGAAAGTGGAGCAATCTAAGCACGTTGGCTCACTGGTGCATGCACGCTGTTAGCCACAGGAAAAATACTGTTTTCTGATGGATAAAACCCAGTTATTTCATGAGTAATTTATCAACCGGACAGAAGAATAATCATGAGGCTTAAGCATGCATTTATCATTTCTTATTGGTTATTGTGATAATAAGTATTTCTGATTCTTATTTTTTCCTCACTTTGTGATAATTAAAAAATGTGTATCTTTCTTAGATTTATAAGTATAAATTTCAACGTATTGCAAAAAAAAAAAAAGAATAAAAAAGAATATCAGGAAGGATTGAAGCAACCAGGGTAGGAAATGAACATCAAACATGAATAATGGGCTGAATTTTTCACCTTCTGGTCTGATTTTACAGCGTTTCTGCTTGTTCTGATCTTGCAGCAGCAGTGAACTAAATTCACAGAGGGATTTACAAACTTACATTCATGACAGAGGTGCCACTAATATTCACAAAGTCCTCTCCTAATCTGATGAGTTTTTACGTTTCTGGCAGTGGGTATCATCAGGCTTAGCAATCACAGGACTTAGCAGCACCACGTAGTTCAGATCTTATTTCCGCTTGCGGTGCCTGTGAGGACAAATTTAGAGCTCATCCTCAGGGAAAAAAAATAAAAATGCACCCGGCAGAGATAGTTTCATGGACTTTCTATCCAAAGAAGAGAACTATCCCCAGGTGCAGAAGCAGATCTGCATAAAAAGCTGCTTTTTAAGCTATTAAATTTGTATTAATGCATCAGAACCCAGAACTCCATAGTTTCTGAACTCTTCCGCAGCTGCTATTTATCCCTATGGTAAAATAGCATCTATTATAACCTCCAAGGACCATAATGTTTTGTCATTTTTTTAAGAAATTTCTGTTAAATATTTCAGATGCAAAGAACTATTTAAAAGTTACATTGATAAATGATATGTCAAAATGAAGCATGGAATGTAGTAGAAATAAAACACATGGAAAAACAATTATGATTGCTGTTTCTCCTGCCCTCACTCCCACTGGCGTGGCAGATAAACTGTTCTTTTTCATACTTACTGCACATATACTTGAGGAATTAGTGGCTCTAAACCTTTCAGAATTGCTAGTATGCTCAAAATGTTATCGGTTAATGCTAGATACAGCAAAAAGTATGGAAGCTGCTGTGTATGTGAATTTCTTTTTAAGTTTTTGTCTGAGAAAAACAGAAACATTTCTAGAAAAGTGTGAGCATGAAAACAATCAAATGCCAGCTGTATTATATATCGTCATGACAACTTTTTCCTTGTGATATGAACACAGTCAATAGTATTTATCCTCTTCGTCAAACCTTGTGTCCTCGATGTGTTTAGACTTAGCAAAAGAAGTGCATTTCCTGAAGCAATGGCAACAAATCTGCATTTCTAAGCTGGACTCTTAGGCTGAGATGCAGGCATGTAAGCTGTTTTGATCTGAGATCAAATACACAGAGGAGGAAAATGGAAAGAGTAATTTTTGGGTTGCTTTAAAAGAAGTTTCATCTCTAGTACGATTTTTTAAAAGGTTTGTTAGTTAAAGCAAAATCAAAGGAATAATGGCAATTCAAAATATCCTTAACACTAAATACAGCCGAGCCTTAAACAAGCACAAATCACTTAATATCTCAATTTTTAAAAATCACCCAAAGGAGATCCTTCTCAGTAGTCTCACTCAGGAATTTAAACAAGCACATGGGTAATATGAGACCCCCAAGCTGCACTTTTTTTTGTTTTGCCATATTTAGAAATAGCAGCGGGCACAGTATAACAGCAGTAGTTTGAAAAAAAAATAAATTATGTGGTAGCAAAATGAGAAGAACATGGAAGTTCAAACTGGGTTGTATAGTGTCTGTTCTTCAGTGTCTGCATTTACTAAGGCACCATATGATGACATGAGCACTGCAGTAGTAAGTAAATACAGTTTCCTTTTTGAAAATCAAGAAGCTTGGTTTTTACTTATGTCTTTAACATTAACGTCATTTTTAAATTGAAACTTCAAGTATTGCCTGTACACTAACTTTGTTCTCTTGCTGTCTTTCTCTTACAGGGTTTTTTTGTAGCAGTTTTATATTGCTTTGCTAATGGAGAGGTAAGATAAAACATTTTAGTTTCTTTGTAAAGTAGATTAAGGACAGAAGGATGAACAGACTGATCAGTTCCCAAAAGCAAGTGTACAGTCGTTTGCATGTATATGAGCAATCGTTTTGTACAAAGAGAACAGGTTTGGGATTCAGATGCAAAGTATCCCCCCTGAAGCTGGACTGACTGTAGCACCCTGGGGTGTCTGAAACCCCTGTAGAGACTGACAGTCAGGGCAGCTGCCGAAAACCCGCTCCTGTAGTCAGCTGGAACCCCAGATCTCCTCTAAACCCTCTTCTACTTTATCTGTAAAATCCATGTGAAGTGATGACATTTGGGATGCTTTAACATCAGAATATTAATATAGTTAAATATAAAAATACATAAAAATATATTCAAGTATATAAACTATGAAAGTCATCTGAGCTCTCCCCCTGCCACGTTAGGACCAGAGTGTATCCGACTCCGGGGCTATGAAACTCTTCCCTAAGTTAGTGTGAGGACTCTTCAGCCTGGCTTAGCGGATCAGTCTGTGCCCAGCCCACAGGGACCTCACCAGGGGTGAGGTGCACCCCAAAGGTGCTGAATTCCACATTCCCTCTCCTTTGACAACCAACAGGTGGGTTAGTGAGCTGCAGGGGGGTTCCCAGGACCTCACGGAGGACCAACCGTTTCCTTCTCCCGCCAGGTGAAAGCTGAGCTCCAGAAGCAGTGGTCCCGCTTCCTACTGGCAGATCCCTTTGGCTGTAAACTCTGCTTTCTCGGGGAAAACATAAAATACCTCAGGAAATGTTCACAGAAAGGAAAAAAACAGCACCCTGGCAGCAAACCCCGCTTGTGCCTGGAGACGAACGAGCCCTGGGGCGTGCAGCTCCAGCAGGTGCTGGTGAAGCAGAGGACAGAGCTCAGCCCCGAGCCTGGCTCTGCTCCTCCGCACCGGCCATGGCCGAGCATGTCAGAGAGCAGCGAAGGAGAAGTCACCACTGGGGAGACGACCGAGGAAGTCTTCGAAGAAAGCGAGATTTAGAAAGCTCTCCACTGGCACAGCCCCGTCCAGTAGCCAAAGGGTTTTGATAGGTCTTCTCTCACCTTCAGCCCTCTGGGGTGTGCGGTGCTGGGAGCGAGAAGCTCGTTGCCCAGTTGTCCTAAGTTTCCTAATCTGAGAAAAAAGTTGATTTGGATGTTGCTAAACCTGTGTGACAGAAGGTTTGCTGGATCAGAAATTGCTTTGGGTTACCAGGCTGGAAGGGAACTGATGCAGAAAGAGATGTCCTTGGGAAATAAGTAGAGTCTGGACACTCGTGTGTCCCCCCAACTTCATTCATGTGGGACTGCTCTAACAGAGAAGGCCTTTGGTTTTCTCTTTCTTAGGTGTGTTTCATAAAAAGAGAGACACGTCTCTCTGCACACTGAAATCATCCTCCATCTCAAAAAAAAAAACCACAACCAGTTTCAGGCCAAAGCAGGCACTTTCTTTTGTTTTTTTAAGCAAAATGGAAGAATTTGTATTTATTAAAATAAAAACAAAAAACCAAGCCAAAATAAAATTAAAAAAAAAAAAATCAAGCCAAACTTGGAAAGAAACAAGCTTTCGCTTACATTTTTGAGCACCTGCACTTGAAGTTTAGTGCCGGAAATGTTATTCTGAAAAGAAAAATGTTTTCTTTTGAAAGTGCTCAAATGGAATGTTTTGATACGATTTTTTTGTTTGCTTGTTTCTGTATTCGCTGTTTTCTGACAAAAGGCACTCATTCTGAGGCACCTGCCACCTTGCCCTACCGGTGGCCCAAAGGACAAACCGGATCATTTGTACGTGCTGCTTCCTCCCCAGGCACCCAAAACGAATAACGACACAGGATTGCAGCAGCACCAAAGAATATTGTGAAATCCTTCTTCCAACATTTAACAAGGACCGCGATGAAATTTTAACTGTCACACACATCTCATCCAGAGACCTAGAAAATTCAATTAAATCCATTAAAATTCTATGAGCCAGTTTCCAGACTTACAGATGTGAGCCAGTTGGAACACCGAGAGGGAAAAAGAAACGGCAACAGAAAGATTAGGGAGCAATATTTATCAACAGTATAAACACACACGCAGGCACACTTGTGTAACTATCTAGCCTGCAGCTAGCTACACAGCATTTGTTTTGAATTTTTCCTGCACTTTACTGGCAAGCACTCTATTTTAACCTAAATGCATGCAAATGTAATAAAACATATCCTTTCTTGCACAGAACAGATACATTCATTGACTAGCGCTAGGTCAGGGATCTCTGGTACTTTCAAAACCCATTTCTTTCGCTGTCGTATCAGTGTTAAGGATGGAGCCTTTTTAATCAATACAAGGTTGTATATTTTTGTAAAATATTAATAAAATGTAAATATTGGATCCATATTAAAATTTCTCTGCAGTTTTAAAAGGCCTTTTACCAGAATGTGCACCCTGCTTACGTAGCATTTTGCTGTAGTGGATTTCTTCACAACCCATCACAAGCACCAGACCATAGATCTGTCGACAGCGTTTTTCCCAGTTTCAAAAGGACTGATTTCTTTTTAATGTTAAAAAGCTTGAAGTGGTTTAGAATCTGTTTTAACTGGATGCTAAAATTGAGAAAATTGTAAGGTTTCCTTATATCTCGGGATAATAGTTTACTTTTTAATTCCATTTTAAAGTATTTCAGATGGTCAAGAAACCAGTTTTCGGTTCTCTCAGCAGCAGTCTCTGCTAGATGCATTTTCCCTTCTATATTTCTGTATGGTCCTTTTACCTCCTTCAGTTTATAGAAATTAACTTTTTATTTTTATATATATAAGCAGACCTTGGAGGCCCAATAAAAACAGTCATCGCATGGATTCCTTCAGAAAACGTGCTTGTAAGTAGATAAATCAGCAAGATTCACCATGAAAATACAGCATTATTTGTAACGTCGCTGAAGGACGGAGGTTGTTAAATCTGGATGACCCCACACGCCACGTGTCTTTATAGAAATATCAATAGCTCATCAGTTCCAAAGAAAATATTCAACAGTCTCAAAGACCACAACGCACTCAACAACTCAGGCATGTTAGCAGAGTCAGCAAAAAGAGTCAAAGTATCCTCCCAGATAAGTTTAATGTCAGGTGCTTGTGTAGACCTGGTAACAGGATTTTTCTCCATATTAATCAGTTGCCCGCCTTTACCCCCGCCAGATTTTCGCTGCCTTTGCCGTATGACTTGTGTGAGCTAAACGTTTCTGCTCTCTCCACGTCAAGTCCCACCCTCGTCCAGCCCTGGCGAGCTCGGTCTCTGCTGATTCAGACGAATCAGACCAAGAAGACAAGGGGGGATATTCATGCTCAGGGTATCAGGGACAACCCCCACTAAAACGTGACTCACAGCTTTGAAGTTGTCTTTGCCAAGGACTTTGCTTTCCATCAAAAAAATTAGAAAAAAAAACCTAATTTCAAGCCCAGAAGAACTTTTGTAGTTCAACAGAGCTTTCTCACTAGATGTAGTGGAACAACTGATCTGATTTGTACGAATAAGATTTATGCAATCTTAATAACCTGCTGTGAGACTTCCTATAAATTTCTATGTTTTGCTACACATAAAGCACAACCTTCCAGACACAATGGCTCCTTCTATGGCCCGAGATGTCAACTATATGTTAATTATTAATGTGTACTTACATTCTTTGTTTAAATATATTGCTTCCACATAGCAGGATCTGTGCCTCAAAGGCTCAAAGAGTACAGCACAAACACTCCACGCCGGAGACCTCTCTGTCAGTTATGCCTTGGAATTGATAATACTGATCTGTATTTTAAAAATATGGAATGAATCAGGCAGATTAGGAGAGATGTGCCAGTTCTGTCATGTTTGATGTGCACACTTCCCAAGGCACCAAACAAAAGGGAAGGGGCAAAGAGTCACCCACGTGTCACCTCCCTGAATGAAAACGACAGGTTTGGGAAAGTCGGATGTCTTGAGACACTCCACTGCTAATGCTATTTTGTTCCAATGCAAACATGAATTAATATAGCAACTACTTTTTTCCCCCTTTTTTCTAAGAGAGAAAATAAGACTTTAATAAAATAGATAAACAAAGTATCCTATAGAACTTGTTCTTAAACTACAGCCATCTTCCCTTGAGGATACTGAGGCTGGGCAGGGAGGTCTATCAGCTACTAACCCACCTAAGCACAGTAATGGTGTCCCTGCACCTTCAGCCTCAAGTACCGGAGATGAAACGGGTTATGTTGCTCCTCCAGGTCTAGTTGGATGTCCCACACACCTGGGCCTGATGCCAGAACTGAAGGAAGGGAAGTCCTAACAGCGGACATTGATCTTTGATCAGCAGTCTTGATCTTTGTGAGTGGTCACAGAATCACAGAATGTTTGGAGTCGGAAGGGACTTCTAGAGATAATCTAGTCCAAGGCTCCTGCTTAGGCAGGACTGCCCAGAGCGCATCACGCAGGAACACGTCCAGGCGGGGTTTGAAAGTCTCTGAAGCCCGAGACTCCACAAACCTCCTGGGCAGCCTGTCCCAGGGATCTGTTACCTTAAGAGTAAAGAAGTTCTTCCTCACATTTAGATGAAAGTGGAACTTGAAGACAAGTGGGACAGCAGCAGGATGAGAAATGCCAAACCACAACATATCTCTTTATTAGGCTGTAGGCTACAACTTTCTGGGCATAATCCCCTAACCTCAGGCTTCTTCATCTGCACGGTAAACTGCTTCCACTTGACTACATCCGCGTTTTGCAACCTGTTGTCTCTTGGTCCACTCCTCTAATATCTCTCTGGCAACCAGCATCCATCTAGCTGGCAGTCCCCAATGCAACAGTCAAAGCCTCTCCACTGGCGCTTTCACAACAGTCTGATGGCAGAAGATGCATTTAGGAACTTGTGGTGTCCTCACTTCACCAGCTGACACCATCTTTGGGTCTCCCACAGCACTTGTCACTTTTCTACCTATCCCAGCATTCCCATCTGCCATTGTTATATTGGCTTATTATTTGGATAGGGTGCCAGGGTGTTAGGCAGGCTGTGTACATGCCCCAACTTTGTAGGAAATGTCCTTTCAGGATAAAACTTTTCCCCTGTGCGGGTGCTGGAGCCCTGGCCCAGGCTGCCCAGTGAGGGTGTGGAGTCTCCTGCTCTGGAGACTTTCAAACTCACCTGGACGTGTTCCTGTGTGGCTGCCCTGGGTGACCCTGCTCTGGCAGGGGGTTGTACTAGATTATCTCTAGAGGTCCCTTCCAACCCCTGACATTTTGTGACTGTCACCATTCTGTGATTCTGTGAACTCAAATTTTTACTTTTCATAGACTTGAGAGGTAAGAAATGAATTTGTTTTGGCAATAGAGTGAGGGAAAGTAAAAAGGAACAAAGGGCAGAGGAGGCATTGACTACACACTTCAATATATGTCAGCACCACAGCAACCAGGCCACTACCACACTCTTGAGCATAACTAACACATTTGCAGGCGTTTTCACAATCGTGTGACCCAACATAAAAGATTCCTGAGAGTTGTGAGCAGTGTTAAAAAGGGTGTCCTGACTTTGTTCCCACTTTTCCACATTAACCACAGTGTCATCCAGCAACCTGTCTCCCTTTTAGATGGACTTGCCAGAAGGTGAAAGGGTAGTGAGAAGAACTCCTGAAGCCCGGACCTGTGAGCGGAGAACCATGATTGTCACCGTGCTGGAGAAGTCAGCTTAAAGACATCTAAGCAGCTGATATAAAAAGAGAGTCCTAGTCTCCTTGAGCAAACAAGCAGAAATAAATGATAGTCTTTAAGCATTTGCTAAGTCTACCAGAAAAAAAAAAATCATAACTCTGTAAATAAAAAGACTGCAACTTATGCTGTAGCTCCAGGAGACTGAGTGTTTGGTTTTCTGCTTTATAAACCAGGAAGTCAAAATAAAATTGGAGCTAGATGTTCTCATCCACTACTTTCAGGGACTTGTGAAAAAAACAGTGCAAACAGAACATGCTGCATTAACCAGTGAGGCTAGACTGTTTGTCCCTACAATAA